CGTAAACCTGGGAGGCGGAGCTTGCAGTGAGCCAAGATTGCGCCACTGCACTCCAGCCTGGGCGACAGAGTGAGACTCCGTCTCAAAATAAAAAAAAAAAAAAAAGAAAGAAAATATGTTAAATGTAAGTCAGACTTCCTGGTAATGGGAGACTGTAATTCAGACCACAATTCCCGCAGAGAACTAGAAAAGCCCAGCAAATAGGAAACATGCTTAAAGGCATAGGAGGCAGAGAAGTACAGGGCTGGAGACAGACAAGGCCAGCATTCCCCTCAAGGCGACAGCCAATCCTGAAGAGGAGGCTGAGAAATAGATCGGTGATTTTTTTTTTTTTTTTGCTTTTTATTTTGCTGAGACAGGGTCACCATTACTTTTAACGGTAAAAACTGCAATTACCTTTGTACCAACCTAACATATTGCTCAGGCTGGTCTCAAATTCCTGGCCTGAAGCAATCTTCCTGCCTCAGTCTCCCGAGTAGCTGGGACTGTAGGCGTGAGCCACCACACCTGGTCTAGAGCAGTGCTGTTGACCTACTCACGTGGCTGAGGGAGGGGATGCCATAATGCCCCACACGTGGGGTGCAGGTTTCTTACTCTAGGAGTGACAGTCAACCAGAAATAGAGCAGCCCTCAGGAGCACTGGATCCAGCTTCAGATCATCTCAGCCACTCAAACTGCATAAAGGACATCCCAGAATTTCAGACTCCTACGTCTCAAATTATTTTTATTTTTATTTATTTATTTGAGACAGCATTTCACTCTGTTGTCCAGGCTGGAGTGCAGTGACACGATCATGGCTCACTGCAGCCTCCGTCTCCTGAGCTCAAGTGATCCTCCCATCTCAGCGTCCCAAACAGCTGGGACTACAGGCACACATCACCACACCCAGCTAATTTTTTATTTTTTTGGGATTTCACTGTGTTGCCCACGCTGATCTTAAACTCCTAAGCTCAAGCAATCTGCCTAACTCAGCCTCCCAAATTGATAGGATCACAGGCATGTGCTTGGCCTCCAAATTATTTTTTTCAACTATTTCTAATAATTTTTTTTTTTTTTGAGACAGAGTCTAGCTCTGTTGCCCAGGCTGCAGTGCAGAGCCACAATCTCGGCTCACTGCAACCTCCACCTCCCGAGTTTAAGCAATTCTCCTGTCTCAGTCTCCCGAGTAGCTAGAAGTACAAGC